TTAAACATGCTGAAATTGTGTCTTGGCCCAGAAGACAAAGCAGCCAAGGGTTGAAAGCTGCAACAGCCAAGAAGCAGTCTAGCTTCTTTAGATTTTTTTTTTTAATGTTATATTTTTGTTAGGTCCTTCTTATTCCAGCTTTGTAATGAAATGTGCACTTTTTACTCTGCTAGAATAACTTTTTTCTCCCAAATATCAAGTGTGACCCATGGGGATCTTGCAGGACCTGGACTTCTTTTTCTAGTGAGCAGCAAATCTTCAGCGATGTGTAAGGATGAGCTCCCACAAAGTTGCATACAGCTGTATTTTGGGGTTCTCGGGAGTTATGTTCTTCTCCATCAGTGTGGCAGGATTTGTTTTAGTGTTTGTGTGGTGGGTTGACTCAGGCTGGATGCCACGTGCCCACCAAAGCCACTATATTGTTCCCCTCCTCAGCTGGGCAGGGGAGAGAAAATATAGCAAAAGGCTTGTGGATCCAGATAAGGACAGGGAGGGATCATTCACCAAGTACCATCAAGTACTCCCGATTTCTCTCCCTCCTTCCTCCAGCAGCACAGAGGGATGGGGAACAGAGGTTATGGTCTGTTTGTCACACGTGGTTTCTGCTGCTCCTTCCTCCTCAGGAGGAGGACTCATCACACTCTTCCTCTGCTCCAGCGTGCAATCCCTTCCCACAGTAGACAGTCCTCCACGAACTTCTCCAGTGTGAGTCCCTTCATGGGATGCAGTCCTTCAGGAACAGACTGCTCCATCATGGGTCCCCCGCAGGGTCACAAGTCCTGCCAGCAAACCTGCTCCAGCCTGGGCTCCTCTCTCCACGGGTCCTGCCAGGAGCCTGCTCTAGCGTGGGTTTCTCATGGGATCAAAGCCTCCTTTGGGCACAGCCACCTGCTCTAGCGTGGGGTCCTCCACAGGCTGCAAGTGGATCTCTGCTTCATCGTGGACCTCCATGGGCTGCAGGGGCACAGCCTGCCTCACCACGGTCTTCACCATGGGCTGCAGGGGAAGCTCTGCTTTGGTGCCTGGAGTGCCTCCTGCCCCTCCTTCTTCACTGACCTTAGTGTCTGCGGAGTTGTTTCGCTCACAAATCCTTGCTCATCTCCTCTGGCTGCTGTCACGCAGCAGTTTTTTCCCTTCTTAAACATGTTATCACGGAGGTGCTGCCACCATCGCTGATGGGCTTAGCTGGCATTGGCTCTATTGGACATGGGGGAAGCTTCGAGTAGCGTCTCACAGAAGCCACCCTTGTACCCTCCCTGCTACCGAAACCTTGCCACACAAAGCCAGTACGGTTTGCAAAGCTGGGTCAGGGACTGGTGGAGAGAAGCGTGCTTTGGTGTCCGCAGCTGCTTTTCTGGAGAGCAGCAGAAAATGGATGGATTTATCAGGTTGGGAATACTTGTGTATTGGTGTGAGTGCTGGGAAGATAGACAGTAACTGTGTCTTGTGGGTTTGTTCTTTCTTGCCTTGAGTATTTCTGGGGTTTTGCTTCCTAAAAGTAGAAGCCAGCAAGAAATGTGAAGTGAGATACATGTTGGTTTGACTCAGATTCCTGAAAAGCTACTGGGTTTGGTGTTTTTCCTCCTTGTAAAAGGAAAACCCAGAGGGTTTTTTAGCGCTCTATCCTGGTGACCTTCTCATCAGGGAGTGTGCTGGTTTTGGCTGGGATAGAGTTAATTTTCTTCTTAGTAGCTGGTAGGGGCTGTGTTTTGGATTTGTGCTGTAAATGGTGTTGATAAGGCAGGGATGTTTCAGTTAGGGCTGAGCAGTGCTGACACTGACTCAAAGCCTTTTCTGCTTCTCACCCACCCCACCAGCGAGGGCTGGGGGGAGCACAAGGAGTTGGGAGGGGACACAGCTGGGACGGCTGACCCCAACCGACCGATGGAATATTCCATATTATGTGACATCATTCTCAGCATGTAAAGCTGGAGGAAGAAGGAGGAAAGGGGAGGATGTTCAAAGTGATGGTGTTTGCCTTCCCAAGCCACTCTTACGCGTGATGGAGCCCTGCTCTCCTGGAGATGGCTGAACACCCGCCTGCCCATGGGAAGCGGTGAAGGAATTCCTTGGTTTGGTTTGGTTTGCCTGTGTGCATGGCTTTTACATTGCTTTTATCTCAACCCACGAGTTTTCTCACTTTTACTCATAGAATCGTTGGGGTTGGAAGGGACTTTAAAGATCATCTAGTTCCAACCCCCTGCCATGGGCAGGGACACCCTCCACTACACCACGTTG